GAGAGAGAGAGAGAGAGAGAGAGAGAGAGAGAGCAAAAAGAACAACCCAAAGCTTCAAATTTGCACTACAAAGCTTAATGAAGAAAGTGTTCCGAGATTTCTAATGCATTGCAGAATTGGCCTCCTTACTTCATTTCCTCAGCAGGTTAGCTCTAGTCCTCCTCAGGTGGTAAATTCCCCAGGGCAGGCTCTTTTGGGCAGAAAGATGCTAAAGAACATCCAACCACTCTCTTTTCTTTTCTTTCTTTTTTTTCCCCTGGTGCTTGGGATTGAAATGAGCTGTACTTTACTATTGCCAAGACTCGTTTTAAAAATGTTTTATTGTGAGACAGGGTCTCCCCAAGTTGCCCAGGCTGGCCTCAAACTTGTGATTTTTCCACTCATCCTCCCCAATCACTGGAAATTCAGACCTGCACCACTGTGCCTGGCGACATCCACAGTCACTTGCATGGTTTACAGCAAGGGTCACAAATGAAAACACATAGAATCTACACACTTCACAGAATCTTAACATTGGAATGGATGAAGACTTATTAAATGCCAGGCACTGTTTTAAATAAATCAACCCCTCTGCTTATGGCAGCTCCATGAGAGAGGAATAATTATTCCCCTCACTTTTCAGGTAAGAATACTGAAGCACAGAGTATTGAATACAGAGAACATGTTTGTCTCCAGCTCATTGTAATCATGTGGTAATAATAGAATGACCCTGTATTTTTTTAAGAACTTGAAAAATTTTAACGTGAATTTTTCCCATTAAGGGAAAAAAATTGGCAACTCTTTAGAAATTTTAAAAACATTATGCAGGCCTAAAAGGATACCTCTTTGGTCCAGTTATAGCTTCAGAGATCCCACTTGCAACTGCAGATCAATGGTTCTACAAGCCTTTTAATCAGCTAAGCTCGAATGTTTTTAGTAATAAAAAGAAAAATTGAGAAGAATCTGCTCTGGAGTGGGGGAGTGGACAGAATTTGACCATGTTGTCCCCTGCCTTTTTTCAGCCTGAGACTCCAGGACATGGAGAACCTGTGCCTCAACTTGAGCCAAAAGCAAGAGTTCACAGTAAGTCAATTCAAAGTTGCCCAGTGGGGAAAAGAAAAGCAAGAGGGACTCATCTGCATTGCACATTGCAGGTCAGACACCTGGCTTTTCTTTGCAATTACCCTTCTTCATGTAGAGTTGCCAGGAGGAAACTAATTTCACCTCCAAACATCTTTTCCATTACTTTTATTTATGTAAAGAACCACCCTTTGGTGCCAAGTACTCAAGTTGAAATTGTAGAACCTCGACCCCGTTGGAAGAAAATATTTGGTTTGTCGAGCTCATTTTAAGTTCTGATGTTCTTGTTTTTTTGTAATGTCAGGTTTAAAACCAGCACACATGGTACTGACTCTGCTATAAATACACCAGAAAAAACTGTTGCACATCTCTGAAAGTTAGTTCCTACACCACACACACACACACACACACACACACACACACACACACACACACACACAAAGACGTGTCTCTTTTCAACTTGCTCCCTCCCCATCTCAAATAAACAGTAGGAGCAATTAAGGCAGACAAATGAGGAATTGGGGTGAAAGTACTTTCAGAGTCAAATTTTAAGAGCAAACATTGTTTTAAAATTCTACATTAGTTCCAGCTGGCAGCCCATTCTTTCTTCACTGTGAATTTTCCTCAAGAAGCATCAGAGCTATCTTAATCAGACAGCATGGAAGTGGAGCTGGGAAGAAGGGCACAGTCACCCTGGAGGTTTAAACCTAAAGAACATTGGTTCTGAAAGTGTGGTCCAGTGCTCATCCACACCAAAATTACCTTTCCAGAGAATGGGCTTGTGTAAAATGCAGAATTTGGGGCCCTACCTCAGACCAACTCCATCAGAATCTCTGGGTTTTCAGCAATGGAATTGGAATTTTAGTACATTTCTCCAAGTAATTTGTGAGCATTCTATAAATTGAGAACCATTATGGAAAAGGGTGTGGAATAAAAACAATGTGTCCACACGAATTGTGCATTTACTGTATACTAGGAACTCTTAAAAGTTCCCTCCCTGGGCTGGTTTATTCACCACTCACCCTTGGAGGTAGGCAATATCACCTCCATTTTTTTTTTTTTTCAGAACAGGGAAATGAGGCATAGAGAAATTTAATGAATTTCCCAAGCTCATAGACCTGGTTAGTGGGCAGAGATGAGAATTGAACTCAGGGAACGTAGATTGAGAAGTCAGTCTCCTCACGCTTTCTCCACAGCCTTCTCACATGGCAGCCTTCTGGTTCAAGCCTGGTTAGAAGTGCAGGTCCTGGAATTGACCTCCTAGATATAATTATTTTATGGGTCCTGGGGAGGCACTGAAGCCTGCTGAGCTTAGTCGGCATCAGAGGGAGGGCTCTTGTGCTCTACATGTCCACGCCTTGAGAAGTGCTAGGTTTCCCTCAGGACAGCTCTTCAGGTCAACCTCCCTCCTATCACCCTTCTCAAAGCCGGGCTATGGTCTTTTTCTCATTCCCAGGCAAAAAAAGCAGCTTTACTTAGAACAGCATCTGGAATTTTCGGCCTCTCTCTTTTCCCCAGGCTCTTCCCTCTCCCTACAAATATGTTCAAGACTTCTCCAGTCTAAAAACTAACACAAAGCTGAAATGCCACAACTGTGGCCTGACTCTTGCCTTAACTTACGCATTGCGACTCTTATAATCAACAGTCCACCTTTGCCATCTGTGCTCTCACAGACCCTGGGTTCACTTCTCACCAGCCCTCTAATATTCTAACTTCTGGTCACCACCATCTCCATGTGGCTTTAGCCAAGGTCATCAGTGGCCTCTTAATTAGAGAATCTCGTGTATGTTTTCCTTGGAGGAACAGATCAGGGTTTTGGGAACTTCCACTCTCCATTGGCTTCTGTTGCTCTGGTCTTTTCTATTTCTCCAGTTGTCCCCCCACCCACCACCTTTTCCTGGATCCTCCTCTGTTAGTCCCTTAAATGCACAGGTTCCCTAAGGTTTTATCCTGGGTCTCCCTGTTCTCCTTCTGGCAACTTTAGCCTTTCTCATGGCTTCATCAATCATTTATGAAATCTCTTGCTCTTTGGAACCTCAGTAACTCACGTTGGATAAATCTTTTGGAAGTTCCCACAGTTGTTTCAAACTTGCCTTAAACAACTCATTATCAGTGTCTCTCCCCAAACATGCTTTTTGCTGTTTATTTTTCAATTTCTGTTGACAGTTTCATTATGTACCCAGTCTCCCCAAATCAGAGAGCTGCTCAGCTCCTCTGTCTTATCTCCCCCGCGTTTACTGTAAATTGAAAATGCCTCCCTAGAGTCACACTATTGTCATAGCCCTTGTTCAGGTTTGCAAACAGCCTCAGATCTGGTTGTCTGGCCAGACTACAGTGGCTCACCCCTGTCATCCCAGTGGTTTGGGAGGCTGCAGCAGGAGGATTACAAGTTCAAAGCCAGCCTTAGCAACTCAGTGAGGCCTTAGGCAACTCAGTGAGGCCTGTCTCAAAATGAAAAATAAAATGGCCTAGGGATGTGCCTCAGTGGTGAATTATTCCTGGGTTCAATCCTTGGTACAAAAAAAAAAAAAAAAGGAAAAGAAAAGGAAAAAAAAATGGTCTAACCCCAGTTCTTGCCTATTCTCTTTCATTTGCCACCAGATTTTTTTTTGCCCCCAAAGAAACAAAGCTGATAATATTGTTGAGTTTGCAGTGAACTTACAAGCTCAAATCTCATTACTTTGACTATAAGATACAACTTGATCCCAAACCCTCTCAAGTCCCAGGCACTCTGTTCACTTGCTCCCTTTTCTTGCCACACTACACTGCGGCTGGTGCCTGTGTACTTCCAGCCTTCTCTACTTGCACAAGAGATTTCATCTGTTATCATTCTTAACTTTTAACTTGTCTTCACATAGTCAGCCTCAGCCTCACCTACTCTTCTGAGCAATGCCACCTCCTCCCGAAAGCCCTGATTTCTCCAAGCAGACCACTGTGTTCCCCATGCTTTGTCTGCTTCTGGGTTCAGCTCACCCTCTGAACTGGCACACACCCAACATGTCTTCATATTCTCTCTCTCTCTCTCTCTCTCTCTCTCTCTCTCTCTCTCTCTCTCTCTCTTAAATATTTTTAGTTGTAGATGGACACAATACCTTTATTCTATTTGTTTATTTATATATGGTGCTGAGCATCCAACCCAGGGCCTCACATGTGCAAGGAAAGTGCTCTACCACTGAGCCTCAACCCCAGTCCCTTAATTCTCTTTTTACACCACTGTCTCCATCCCCAGCTCAGAGCATCACAAGGACAGAAAGACTCATGTCTGATCTGTCTTTGGGACCTTGCCACCTGCACATGGTGCCTCTTCACTGAATGATTCTCTCACTGACAACGAGTGTTTCCTGGATTTCACTGTCACTTACTTTCCTAAGGTCTGTTAAGTTTGGTTTGAGTGTCTCTGAGGTTGGTTAGGTATTCTCTGGCAGTGGGATTTAGGGGCCCCTTGAGAATTGTAAGACCAAATGATTAGTGATGGGAGAGGGTCCTATCCACTAGCTAATGAGTGAGGAGTTGGATGGGGGTGGTCATTGCTGCCCAGGAAGACCATTTCCCTGGCTCAACTTCTAATGGACAACCAGAATGATCTAGTGTCTGATCATTTTGTAGATAATCTATAGAGCCCACCTCCCTCCAAAGGTCAAGAGACTCAAATGTTAGTTACTAGAAGCATTTGAGTCTCTGAGCTGCCCTCCCATGGGCCTGTAGTGTCTGTGGCCCCACCTTGCTCTACCCTTGAAGGTCAAATCCTTGGTCCTCTCTGTTTCTCCAACTCTGTAGGCTTAGCCTAGGGTCTGCCAACTCATGATCCTGAATGGGTCAGGAGGTGGGTGTACAGGGTACTGTTGGAGAGAGCTGAGGACAGTGGCTACTTTTTAGTTTTATTCAATGGATGCATTCATAGAAGCTGGGCCTAGTGTCACCAGAAGATTCTGATTCTTAAAGAGTGTCTGGGAATGGGGATTTTTAGGAGAAATAGATTAGCAATTGAATATTTGAAGGTAAATGTGGGAGCTCAATAAAACCTGTCTGTAGATAAAATTCAACCTGTGACTAGCCAGTTTGTAACATCTGACATAGGCTTTTCTGTCATTAAAAAAAAAAAAAAGTCTTTTAGGATTTGCCTCCAGGATGGCCTACACTTTACCTAGCAAATTTTCATCTCTTCTAAGAATCAAAGAACTCTCACACCATAATGGAGTATCTAGTTCAGGCTTCACCTATCTTTACAGCAGTGATGACAATGTTTAAGATTTTCTCTCGTGGGCTATACAAGGAGAAACATAAAAAGCAGGTAACTTCTCCAAAATTCACCTTGTAATGTTGGGTCATTATAGCAGAGGGATTATGGATACAGCTCAATGTTGGATCCCCTCTCCTAAGGACAACTTCTCTATTTCAGTAGTGACCTATATCAACGTTTCAAGCTGTATGTGGGGAAGGGATTGCTCATTTCAATCTGAGTAGTAGTAAGTATAATAATAATAAATTACTAAAAAAGTGAAATAAAGAGACACACAAAACACAAGCCCAATTTAATTTTCGCACTATTGGTGTCAACAGGCTAAAAATTACTCTGTCATAATGCTATAAAGCAGTGGCTCTTAACTGGAATTGTTTTGTCTTGGGGGGCCTTTAGCAATAAATGGAGATTTTGTTGTTGTTATTGTCAACTAGAAAGAATTTGGGTTGTCAAAACTAGCTCTTCCATGCTTTCTTCTGTTCTTTCCTTTCTGGTTTTACTCTCCCCAACATTTTTTAAATTATCAATACAAATGTGAACTCATATTAATTGTACAAATAAATGGGTTTCACTGTGACTTTCCACACATGCATATCCAGTGTTTGAATCCTTTCCACCTTCCTTGATACCCGGTGTTACCTCTCTTCCCGCCCTTTGGTCCCCTTCCCTTTCCCTAAAAGTTCCTCTTCTACCTTAGAGTTATCTTTTGTTTTGTTTTGTTTCCACATAATGAGAGCAAATAAGCACTACTTGTCTTTCAGAG